TTGTCTTGAAAATGGACCTTTTGTGTTTTCAGTGGAAATTCATTGAAAATGGAAAGTCTGCTTTTGTGTAATTGATACTTTTTAAGTAGTGAGATGGTGGAGCTAGTTGAATTAACTGGCTGAGAGTGCCAGTGTCTCTAAGGGAAAAGTCGGTTCATGCATTGTGGAAGGGTACAGACCCTCCCGTGATCTCAGTTGGTGGAAGGAGTTGATCAGTTTTTTTTTAATTTTTGTTTTTTTGTTTTTTTTAAGTTTCTAAATGTCCTGCAGGGGCAGACAATGAGTTTATTATTTGAGAATTGTCCTCTACCCTTGCTATTTATCCAGGTTTTCTAAAGGCACCCATCACTGTAGTTTCCAACAACCTCCCAAAGAGTTAAAAACCAAACATGCAAATGCTACATGGCCTAATTTTATTGCTTTATCCCCTCTTTGCTCTCCTCCTACTCTGTGTCCCCTTTCTCTTTTTTCTTCTTTTCTTTTTTCTCTAGTTCTGATTCCTCTCTTCTTTGCTGTTGGGAATATGGAAGAGCTAAGATGAAGAAGAGAGTTTTACACTTTTCTGAAAGAGATCTGATTTCTGGTTACTCTATTAGGTAGTAAGCTTCAAAGCTTTTGCCCTCTTCCTACGAGTCCTGTCCTCTCTTCTTACATCCTTCACTCTTAAGGATGACCGCTTTCATCGTTACTTCTTGATTAATGTAGGTACCGAGGGAGATTACTACTCAGCTAGTTTCTCAATTACCTTGATCAAGAATGGGAATTTGGATGCTGGGGTGGTAATTGATAAGGCCTGAGTCAAGAGAAGGTTTAAAAATATGTGGCATTAAGACATGCTCTAATCAAAGGTGCCCTCATTAAAGGTGGCATTTGATGATTTTTACCAGTAAAGGTGCCAGATGCATCTTTCCACAGCCACAGTGATCATGGGTCTGTGTGATGGGTGTACCAGGCTCAGAGGCCCCCTGCTGCAGGCCTCAGGGTCCTACCACACCCTGTCCCCAAAAAGGAGCAGTGGAACTATCCTCCAAGTGGCCTAGAGAGGCTACGTGGGAAGCAGCAAATCAGAGGGAGGCTGCAGGACGCAGCCAGTCCAGGTCCAGAAGGCCCATACAAAAGGAACTGCGGTAGAGAACAGGAGGCAGTTTCTGCTTGGAGCCATAGGAGCAAGGATGGTGTTCCTGTCTGGCTGAAAGGACTGCAGAACCTCAAACAGATCAGTTGCTGTCAGGGACCGGGGGAGCAAGGAGGAGCTCCTGGCTGGTTGCTGGAACTTGGTAGCTGAAGCCCTAAGGTAAGGATGAAGGGGTCATGGAGAAGTGGCCCAAGAAATTGTAGCAGCATCGTGACTAGTCAAAGGGATGCAGCGGGTGGCTGATATTTGTAGGGTCCCTGGGCTGGGACCCAGGAATGGTGGGCAGGCCCAGGTCCCCACCAGCCACAGTGGCGGAGGGGCTAAATCCTTGAGGAGGGAGTTGAACTGATCCCCAGAGAAGGGATTGAAGACCTTGAAGAGGGTCAGTGATATTGGACTTTAGGGACTTTGGTACATCCCCAGAAGGGGACCTGAACTGTTTAGCGACCCAGCTGGAGAACTGGGGTCAGAGAAGGGCCCAGAGAGGGTGAAGATGTCTCCAGGGAGGGAGCCCTGAGGGCACAGACCCATACCAGGGCCAGGACTGTTTAAAGACTGAGCCCAGGGAGGTATACAGGAAGAGCCGTTCCACCCGAGGGATACTGAGAGGCCTATGTTGGGCTCTTTATCCCGGAAGGGGTTTGTTTTGTTTGTGTTCCATATGTAGACTGTGTGCGACTTGGCTGGAGGGCTGAGTTACAGAAGACCTAGCACAATTACAGAGACTGAGTGGAGGCACATGCACTTGGCCAGGGGGCACTCGCAAGAGGTGCGTGCCACTCTGTTATAGTGTGAATCACTGGTAGTGGTGTAGATTTCTTCCAGCACTCTAGTGTCTTGCTCAGGGAAAATACTGAATGCTGTAAAGAGGGGAGGTTCTGTCTTAGCATGTGACTGCTGCTGTCTGGAGAGGGCATGTGGGATTTATTTGATCTTCTCTGAGAAGCTTGTCGATAGTTATTCATATGGAGTGGAGCTGGCTTCTGAGTTTGTGTGGATGCAGTCTGAACTGAGACAGTCATTCACAGACCATTAAAATTCTGCAGTGCAGGATTTAGCTGCTGCATTGGCAGAAGAGAAGAGAGATTTTAGTCTCAGCTACAGCCATAGCCTAGGATTCTAGAAAACCTTGTTTTGGAGTTTCCAGCTTCTGATCAGGTTTTCAAGTATTGCCATTTGTTTCCTTCCCTCCTGTGTCATCTGACATCAGTATCTGAGAACTAAAGAGATTTAAGGGTCTGAAGGTGCCAGTGTTTGTCTGTCTGGCAATGGCTCATGCATGCTCCAAGTTGTCCTAGTCTTATTTACATTAAATCCATTTTACATTGCTCTAGCAATGTAAAGCAGCTTTAGTGTAAATAAGAATCAGGTCTGTAGCATCTTACTTGGTCTTACAGTCTTTGGCTCTTCGGTTGTATATGGATTTTATTGAAGATGCTCTGGAATTTATCTGGGACCATAAATTTACAGGGGCAGACCATAGTGACAGTCCCTTCTTCCAACTTGTGTGCCTGCAGATTGATCTTGGTTTGAAGGAGGTGGTGACCTTCCTGGGAAAAGGGGTGAGTTCCTAATATTTCCTATTTCCATTTCTAGGCCAAAGAATTAGTCCAGTGTGAGACCAACTTTGTGAATTGATCCCAAGAATACCTGTGTAGCCCAAAGTAGAGTGCTTGTGTGTAGAAGAGGCGTGTTTTTTTTTATTGTCAGTGTAGATGTTAGTCCCCTGTCATGATGAGCTTTGGGGACTCCACTATTGTCAGTCAAACGCCCGCTCTTCAGGGAAACCTACAATTTATGTGCTCTGAAGATCAGTATGTAATTATCTCCACTGATTTACAGATATGGTGGATACATGCAAAGGATTCTGTTTTTCCAAGGGATCCTTCTCTGCATTTGATGCTGAATGGGAGTAACATGGCTGGTTGGCCACTTGTTTTGTGTATTCGGATAGGGACAATGTATAGGGAGGATGGGGTGAGCCAGCATTGGGCCTCTGCTGCCAACTAACCAGGAACTGGTAAAAAAGGACAAGATGGGAGCCTTGTCTGATAAAAGGAGTGGAGGTCAGATCTGTTGACTACTGATCTTTCATCACATAATATGAATTTCAGGTCTGCGCTATTGGCTGTGTTGGTGTTATATTCACCTGAAGGGGTGGTTGTAAACTGAATGTACTATATTGGTAGTAAGTATCTCTCTGGTTTATTTTCTTTGAGTGTATGTTGTTTCCATCATTTGTTCTTTCTTTTCCTTACCCCAAGTCACATGATCCCATAATGGAGAAGGGAGGAAAATGGCAATACTAGTGGTCATGGGATCTGACCCTACAAAAGATCACCCATTTATAGGTGCTGGCCCCTATAAGTAGCTGGAACAACTTGTTCATGTCCTTAGCTTGAGCAAGTCAGTCTTCGCCTTGCATTTTGACCATGTCCAAAATTGAAGTATTGGTGTCTCTGAATGGCCATAAAAGGTTTAGCAATGTTTTAATGTCTGTATTTTAAGGAGGAGGTAGAAAATGCCAGATGTAGTAGGTATTTCTCCATGAAGACTCTTTCTTGTCAGAACTTTAGAATGAAATGTATTATAGCTGTATCTTGCAAATCACATTATAAAGCACTCCAGGAATGATCAGCAAGTTGGACTGCTCGACTTCTGACATAATCACTTTATATATAAAGTGATCTCCTTTCATAGAGCCAACTTCCTTGATTGTTCTATGGCAACTTAAGGTTTTATTTGTGGTTCTGTTATCACTTATAGTTATTGCTTTTCATTGGGAGTTCAGGGTGCTCAGCAGTTTGCAAAATTGGACAGTTAGGACTTGTTTGTTTGTTATTCTGTGGGCCAAATTCAGATGCAAGTCTAAGATGATGTAATTTACTATGTTTTACTCCGGCTCTCTTGATATGTTACAGTTAAGACATAAATGGACTCTGACTTGCATCTTATAGATGTAACTTGTCGTACACTCCATCTCCTTATTTTGATTTATAAATGCTAGGCAGTGTTTCCTGCTGCACCCTTCTGGACCTAGTATGGCTATTGCTTCTTAGACTGACTTAGATTTGGAGGACCAAATGCAAATGTGATGTGTAAGAGGGGAAGGAGGTGAGATATTCATGTTTGTGAGTGTGCACAGTGAGGAGGCAAGAAGGTTATAAATTTCACCAGTTTAGACTCCCTGAAACAAACCTGTGACTGTCTCACTCAGTCTGTGAACGTTATACACAATCACTATGATTAACCTTGATATGCACCTTGCTTTTTGAACTTCCATCAAAAACAAATTTTCAAAGACCTTTGGTCAGCTTGGCTCAAGGATCTGAGAGTTGCTGTTACAGAGTCAGTAGTTTTGGGTTTTTTATGGTGATCTCAGGATACTACAAAGTCTAGACCCTCTTTTGGAGAAATGCCTCATTTTTTTTCAAGTTATAGTACTGTAATTCTGATTGTGATTTCAGTTAGTGTGGTTTCATAAACCTGCCAGATGGGAATCTGAGAAACAAGGGATGGCCCTTATTGAAAGCCATGGTCACCAGTCTGAGGATGGAATACTGATGAGATGAAAAAATAAAGCTGAAAAGTGTCAGACTTCTGATATATTCATGTGCTACAATTTTGCAACTACAGTTTTACAGACAGGTCAAAGATCTTCAGTCTAGCCAAAAGAAAGCAAATGGTTTCAAATAGAACAGATGTTAATGCTCTGTTTGCCAAATGAATTAAGAAATAATTTGGATCCTAATATTTAATATGAAGATGAATATGGCATGATTAAGTTTTTTCAGAATGTTTTTTACAATTCAGCATCATAATACAGCTTAATAAAATACCTTTCCAAACATGTGCTTTTCTTTAGGGAAGCAAAGAAACAGACTGGAACCGATGGATACCATATTTGTTAAACAGGTTAAAGAAGGTGGACCTGCTTTTGAAGCTGGATTATGCACAGGTGCTGTTCTTTTATAGTGCTAATTTAATATAAAAAAAGCTATAACTTTTCTGCAGTCTTGTCATCTTGATTATTGCACTTTCTGGACTCTCTTACTCTCACCTCTCCCTCTGTGGACTGCCCCAAACACTGCTACTATAGTCTTCTCTAGGTCCTACCACTCTGATCACGCAAGTCCACCCCTTTGATTATTTTTCAATGTCTTCCTGTCTCCGCACCACAAACTCATGCTCCTTTTCCTTGCCTATAAAGTGTTACATAAACTTGCCCCCGCCTTAATCCTGGCTCCCGTTTTATATTGCTTCCTCTCCCACGGTCAGCTCTTCAGTTCTCTGTTTGCTCCTTCTTTACTTTTTTCACAATCTTTTCTTTTATGCTGTCAATCATGCTACCTCTCCACCTATCCATACTTTGAGCATTGTCACCAGATTTATCCTCTAAGTTAGTGGTTTTCCAACTTTCTATTTCTGGGGACCCAGTTGAAGAAAATTGAAGCTGAAGACCCAAAGGAGCTGGGGATGAGGGGATTTGGGATGTGGGCTCAGGGCTGGGGCAGGGGATTGTGGTGTGGGAGGGGGTCTGGGCTGGGGGAGCAAGCTCTTCTGGGGCCAGGGATGAGGGATTTGGGGTGCAGGAAGGGGTTCCAGGTTTGGGGGGAGCTTCAGGGCTGGGGCAGGGGATTGGGGGCTCGGGCAGTGTGTGGAGCCTTGTGGCCCCCCTGCCTAGAAGCCGGACCTTCTGCTGGCTGCAGTGTCGGAAAAGGTAGGCACTAGCCATGGGGTGGGCAAATTTTTTGGGCCGAGGGCCACACCTGGGGAAATTGTACGCAGGGCAGGGGGTTGGGGTGCAGAAGGAAGTACGGGTGTGGGAGAGGGTGCAGTGTGCAGGAATAGGCTCAGGGCAAGGGATTGGGGAGGAGGAGGGGTGCGGACTGCAGGAGGGAGCTGGGGGTTGGGGTGCACGAGGGGTGTGGCAGGGGGCTCAGGGCAGGGGGTTGGGGGCGGAGTGTAGGAGGGATTCTGGCTCCGGCCTTGCGCCGCTTACCTAAAGCGGCTCCGGGGTGGCAGCAGCGCGCCCTGGGGCCAGGGCAGGCTCCCTGCATGCCTGCCCTGGCCCCATGCTGTGCCGCTCCAGGAAGTGGTTGGCACCATGTCTCTGCGCGGCCCCTGCGGGAGGGGAGGGCACAGGGCTCCATGTGCTGCACTTGCCACGCCTCCAGGACTTCCCTGAAGCTCCTATTGGCCACGGTTCCCCATTCCTGCCCAATGGGAGCTGGTGGGGGGCAGTGCCTGGAGGCAAGGGCAATGCATGGAACCTCCCTCCTCCCCCCCCCACGGGGCCTCAAGGATGTGGTGCCAGCCACTTCTGAGATTGGTGTGGGACCTGCGGCACCATGGGGGGCAATCCCGTGGGCCATAGTTTGTCCACCCCTGCACTAGCCTGCCTTTGCTGGGCAGCACTGCCGATCGGACTCTTAACATCCCTGTCAGCAGTGCTGACCGGAGTAAGGTGACCCAGTGCCCGACATGCTGGGACCCAGTACTGCGTCTTGACCCACAGTTTGAAAAACACTGCTCTAAGTGCCCTCTCTTCCATCAGACCTCTACATCAAACCTAACACTTCAAGCAGTCCTGCTCTTCTTCAGTTCTCCTATAATCCCCTCACCCTCCTTTTCCTGAATGGTTGTCCTGTATTTTTTATGTGTTTTTTGTATTATTTATTTGTATTAATGCCCCAAACCCACAATCAAGACTGGGGCCATATTGTAATAGGTGCTATACAAACATAAAGGAAGATGTGAAGAGCTTATAATTTAAGATAAGACAAGGGACAAGTGAGTGTGACAAACAAGAGGAAGGGTTGAGGAAGGACAGGACTTTACATGTGGTTACATAGGTTATGTGCATAACTTGATGGTTCCAAATCATTTAACCCTCCACCTTCCCACTCCCCCAACCTATTTTAAAGCAAGTAAATATGAGCAGTCCCCATTTGGCCCTCTACCTAACCATTATTTTGCTTGTTTTGTCTGATTTAGTCCAAAAAATCTTTGAAACAGAGAATCCATCTGTTTGTAAAGCACCATTTAAAGTGCATTACAAAGGCTAGGTCTGCACTAAGAGCATTTACCCCTAGGTATACCAGTATACTATGCTGGCAAAACACTCCTGGTCTGGATGCAGCCAAAGTTGCACTTTATACTGATGTGGTAAATACCCGCTAGTCCCCACAAGCAAAACAAGCTATACCAGGATATAACTCTTGTCTGCGCTACAGAATTCTGCCTGAATGCCTAAGTTGATCAGGCTCTCACCTCTTCGCACCACTATGCTGGCACAAGTCTGGTATAGACTTAGCCTAAGTTTTGTAATAATTTGTGGTTCTTTATTTAAATTCTTCAAGAAAAGTTTTTAGAAGGAACAATCGTACAAATTATACAACTACAGATTAGGTAGCTGGATACCATTGTAAATGAGAATTTCTATCCTTAAAAGCATGGCAAACACTATACTACACAAAAGCAATGCATGTGAGTCAGAGAACACTCCTGACCTGGCTGTTGAGATTTGATTTTTTTTTTTAAATGTATACATGTATTAATTGCTTGGACTAGGGTAATTTTTTTCAAAAGAAATATGAAAACTCTAGGGCATTTAGAAAATTAAAAATCACAGCACTGACTTTCCAGGCTCTGCAGTACATCCTATTTTTTTTCTTCTCTCTCTGATATAGTTTTACAGTAGCAAGCATTCTCTGAGCAACCATGGCATCATTTGATGCTGGTGTATAGAGAGAGACGTTTTGGCTTGATAAAGTGCAACATACGCTGAAGTTGTACAAAAGGAGCATGTTACTTTTCTGACCGAAGATGAAATTCAATATTTGCCATACTGAAAAGGATAAAATCAGTACAGAGAATATTTTATTTTCAGACTTATAAAAAGGTAGAGAATAAATTATAATTTTTTTTTTTTAAATTGCCCACGTGTCCTTTTAAGGAGACTACTGATAGTCATAATATCTAATTAGGTCATGTTGCTATTTCTGTTAAAAACTGTAGATTAACATGTAGTATTATGGCTGTGTCTTGGAAATCACATTATAAAGCACTCAGAGAACGGTCAGCCAGTTAGACGGCTCGGCTTCTGACACAATCACTTTGTATATAGTGGGTATCTCATTTTGTGGAACCAACTTTTCTTGGGTTGTTCCGTTGCAGTATATGGTTTTATTTCATTTTATGGTTACACTAAAGGGGTTAAAAGATTTTGAAATCGAATATGAACTTAAGTAGTTACGTTTCATTATTTTTGTCAGTTTATATTTCATTGCTGCAAGGCACTTATTTTGTATTATTGAATGTCTCATTCACAGTTTGATTGGACAGAAACACCCAGTTTGCAAGTGGATCAGTTGCCTGGAAAAGCTAAATGTGGCATGCTGTAATATAGAGACTTGTGATAATCTTGTAAACTTGAATGAAAGGATATCCTAACTGCAGAATGGTTTAGTTTAAACATTTTTCATAGTTCTATGTAGTTTTGTATTCATAAGTCTAATTGGGTTGTTGCTGAGCAGGTCCATAGTTCCCATGTTTGACACTCAAAGCATTTTACCTCAGAGATCACGTCTGAGAATCCCAAACATGGTAGAAAGCAATTACAATATCTATAACTATAATGGGCCCGATTATGTACACCTATGCAAAGTGGGTATAAGATACTGTCAGGACAGCATTTTGCATGTACTCAGCGCAAGTGTAAATGACTCTACAACATACAAGGCAGAGGAGAATTGGTACCAGTGTGTTCAGATTGAGTCACAATGTTGCCAAAAAGTATTGAGGTGGGTTTAATCATTGGATAACTGTAAGAACAACTTTCACTTACTTCTTCCCACAATAAGTACATTCTCTCCTTCTGTCTACCTATGACAGAGCAAAGCCCCTTCCACCTTATAATCTTCGTTCAATCACTCCATTCCTGAGGCTGATTCTGTCTTCGGTGCCACTTAAACTTCTAGGCAATTCCTTTTCTGAGTCATTGGGCACTTGATCCAGGCTGACCCACATCACTTCTTCTGGTTCCGAGTCTGAGAGCTGAATTGAAAATCATGGGAGAGCAGGCTGGAACCAAAAACTCCACAGGAAGACAGGTGATATGAGGCAATATAAGGATGTTCATCATTACTCAATATTCCTATGTGAAAACAAGAAGTACCAAATAATTGGGCAAGGTTTGAAGCTATAATTTAAAAAAAAAAAAAAAAATCCGTTCCTATTTTCAGTGGCAAGAGGGAAGGCTCTGATGGTATTTGGAAGAAGCCCTACAATATGGCTGAACTTCTTAGAACAGGATTTAAAACTTCTAAGTATGTAGCTCTTGGCCTAAATTATGACAAATTTTATCTGTAAATTTTTTTTTTGTAGTTTGAGAATGATTCAAGCATTCCAGACTAAACTGTGGCTTCAGAAAAATCCAACACTTCAGTGAAATTAGGTAGGGAATTCACAGTGATCTACCTACTTATCTGGAGTTTGACTTTCTACCAGCCAAGATTACTCATCGTTCATGTGGATTATCAGCCGCCAGGATGTTTGGCATCAAATTCTCTTCTGTAGTGTTGCTTATTATTCTTGCTCACCTTTGGGAAACTACTTTAGCCAGCAATACCAGTTCAGCAAAACAATCAGCTGAAACAAGGACCCAAATGCACTGTTCAAAAGGTTACATTTGTAAACCTCCAATGTGTGATCCTTTATTCATCATGTGTTGAAAATCATATGTACAGTCTAAACCAGTAAAAAGAGGAACCATTAAGTCAGTTTCTGGATATGGAACTCAGCTGGGTTAGATCTTCCAACTGAGGACAAAGTTCTGCATAATGCCAGGAAGCAGGAGAGGTGATCGCTCAAGAGTGTTCAGCAGTCATGTATTCCAAAGAGTCTCCAGTATATATCTATAATTGGTTAACCTCTTCTACAGGGTATTTGTATAGAGAAGATTCTATCTAAGAAAAATAAGAGTTCTTCCTCTCTGTGTTAGAGTTCAAGTCGTCTTTTCTTCTGTTTCAAAGCCTCTTATATGTTGTTGTCCGTCCTTAAACATTTTCTATTTCTTTCTTTTCTTCTTCTGAGAGAAGACCAGGATGTGCACGATTACTTTATAATTCCTGTATTGTGTAGGGGGTACAGCCTCTTTTAGCTCTGTTGTGATAGTCATGAGGTTAGTTTCTGTTTCAAAACCAAAAAGGAGCCCACAGTACACAGATCTGTCATGTTTCCTTTATGTTAAGTTGCCATCTATCCGTGGTTGAAGAGTGAGAGAAGATTATAATCAGTAGGACACAACAAAACTATCTAGAGAAGCTCAAAGAAACTGCAGTTCAATTCTAAATTTGATCTAGGTGGCAGAGAATTAGACCACTACACCATATGGATAGATAGATTGGACATCGAAAAGCTAAAAGCATCATACAAGTAACACTAGCCTTTTAAGGAAAAGAAGGAATTGGAGCAGCTTTAGAAACCTTCTCTCCTGATTGCTATAACTACTACATTTTAGAACAAAAGAGTATTGCAGTGCCTGTTGGAAAGACATGTGCTACTGCTGGAGGTGCTCTGAATCCAAAATTACCAATTTTTTAAAATCTCTAAACAAAAGTTTATTTGTAAATATTTTTTTTTAAAAAATCAACATATTTCAATATAGAGAAGTATTCCTCAAAAGTTGTTTTGGAGGCCAATTTTTTAAACTAGCCTTTTCTATTGTTTGTGCCTGCTTGTGTGTTCAAAAGAACATTTGTATGAGCAAATGAGTTGTTTAAGGGGTGTAATTTGGAAGCATAGAATTAAGTACCAGATCTGAATATTTGGCCGGAAAATTTTAATTTTTGTTTTTAATATACGCACTATATCTACACACAAAGAAATATTTTTAAGTAGCAAAGAATATGCTTGTAGTTTGTTTTTAAAGCAAGCTAAACTTAAATTCATTATGTTAGTGATCCTGATTATTGTAAAGTACTGAACCATCCTTTTAAAATGAATGGAGAAGAATCCAAAGAACTGGAATAGAAACAAATATGCTGTATGTTTAACTTTTTATTTATTTTTTTCCCATAGGTGACAGAATTGTAAAAGTCAATGGAGAGAGTGTTATTGGGAAGACATATTCCCAAGTAATTGCTTTAATTCAGAACAGGTAAGATATTTGTAAATTAGTCCCTTTTGAGTGCCAGCTTGATAAATTGGAGCATAGGGAGGGATGACTGTTGCATTATTCTGCAAAAGTGTGTGTGTCAACCACTGGGTGTGCATGTTTGTGTGCATGCGTGTGTGTATATACACACACACTGCTTGCGGAGGTGGGAGGGATTTTTATATTCTATATATAATATTATATATATATATAAAAAAAATCCCTCCCACCTCCGCAAACAGTATTGTACTTATAGGAATTGTTGTACTGTATTAGAGCATGGTCCATCTAAGCTAGTATTTGTCTTTAATAGTGGACTACACCAGATGCTTCAAAAGAAGAATAACGGAATAATAGTGTAATAATCTTCTCCTCCATGAAGGTCTCATTCTAATCCCTAATATTTGGAGATTGATTTAAAAAACGAAGCATGAGGTTTTATATCCCTTCAAAATTTTTGTTAGGATTAACTGTTATAATTCTGGATTTTATTGTATACAGTGCTGTTGTAGCTTTGTTGGTCCCAGAATATTAGAGACAGGGTGGGTGAGGTAGTATCTTTGGTCTGAAGAATAGCTCTGTGTAAGATCAAAAGCTTATCTCTCACCAACAGAAGCTCGTCAAATAAAAGATACTACCTCACCCACCTTGTGTCTCTAATCCTTTTTTGAATCTTATTAAATTCTTGGCCTCAATTATATTCTGTGGCAATGAGTTCCACAGTCGAGCGGTTTTGGAAATGGATTTTATTTATCAGTATTGAAAGTGCCACCTTTTATTTTCATTGCATGTCGTCTTATTCTTGTGGTGTTAGGCAGGGAGAAAGAAAGCTCTTGATCTACCGATTCTATTCCATACATTATTTTATATACTTTCCATGTCTCCTCTTTTTTGTTTCCCTTGTAAAGTACAGTCCCTGTCTTTTCAGACTGTTTATGGAGAGGTTTTCCCGTGCCTTTATTCATTCTAGTCCCGCTCCCTTTCTAATTTTGATTCCAGATACGCTGTACCTTTTTTGAGTTGATAGTTAATTTAGAGCCCTATGAGATGTCTGAGTAATTGAGATTTTTCCCTCTGGTGTGCTTTACTTGGCATTTATTAACGTTGAACTTAGTTTTCTATTGTACTGTTGATTCATGTAGTTTGGTTAGGTCCCTCCAAAGTTACTCAGTCTTCTCTGCACTAGACTAACCTAAATAACTGTCATGTTACCTTTTTGCCATGCTGAAAACCAACCATTTATTTCTATTCTGTGTTTCCTGTCTCTTAGCTAGTTTGTTTGACACAAGACAGTACTTCTCTCTGCAGCGACTGCTTAGTTTCTTTAGTAGCTTCTTGTGAGAGACTTGGTCATAGGACTTTTGAAAATTAAATTACGTCAGCCGGTTCTCCTTCATCTACTACTTTACTGACACGTTGAAAAAAAATCTTACAGATTAGTGCAAAATTACTTTTCTTTTCACAAACTGTGTTGGTTATACCCTAGCATAGTATGACTTCCCAGAAATGTCAATACCCTGATTTTAATTATAATTTCAACCCAATTTAGCAGATCTAAATGGAAAGTGTACTGGTCTGTAATTCCCCCAATCACCCTTAGAAATAGTTTTAAATATAAATAATTTGCTGTTCTATGGTATATTAGCTGTTTTTAATGACACACAGCATATTTTGCTATCAGCTCAGCTACTTCATATTTAAGCTCCTTTAGAAGTCTTGAATGTAAACAATCTGGGCTTTGTGGTTTATTGCTTTTTAAATTATCCCAACACCCCTTCTCGTGGCACCTCAATCTCTCATAGTACCTCATCTTTATTTCCAGAAAAGATGTAAACTGAGTTTTGCAATGTTGATGCCTGTCCTTGTTACTGAATGCTATGGACTTCAGTAGTGTGACTTTTCCTTAATATAGGGCCCAAACTAATGCTTGTTGATGTCAGTGGAAAGATTCCCCATTGACATCAATTGGTTTAATCCACATGCCTTTTGACTTAGATGAATGCAGTTGACTTCTCTAATGGCTTTGGGGACATGTAGCCCTCTACCATCTCTTACCAGAAACTGAGAAAAAGTTTGATTTATACGATATATCCTTTCTGAAGGATGAGAGAATTGCACTGCAGAATTCCCAGAGTGAATTGTTCCAAATGACACAAGTCCTGAGATTGCTCTTGAATCTAGTCTTGCACCGTTTACCAGAATTTGCCAACCTATTTGATTGGGCCAGCAAAATTTTATCTTTATTCACTTGCATACAAGCAACTTAAAGACATGATGGGCACTAATGTAAAAACCTGTAAAAGACAAATTATTTTACTAGTTATTGTTGAAAATAGACCAAGAAACAGGAGATCAGTATGCTGATTCACAGTAATGATTTTTTTTTAAAAGTCATTTGGGGGTTGGAAGAGCCACAACCCCATCCTTGGATTCTGTTTCCTTTTAAATTTTTCATAACCTAAATATATTGCTAAAACCTTCAGAACTATACACAAGATTAACAGTAGTCACAAAAAAAAATTCCATAAAATGTGCGTCTTCACGCTGGTCTAGGTTCTTAGTGCTTTTGTTTTGATGCCTCTTCTGATGCAGAGTCAAGAATTTTTAAAATTTGATTAAGAACAGCATATATGACATAAAAATGAGGTTATTTGCTTGATCAGTGCTTTCCATAGACATCTCTAAGAATTAATAATGTTGTACCTAATATTTTGTTCAAACTGTCACTTCCTTTGAGTGTGATGCTTCCGATCAGCATTATACAAGTGATAATCTTACTTACACTTTCATGAGTGTTAAGAAAATGAAGAAAACAGTTTTAAAGATTTCCTCAATATCTCGACACCTGGAGTGAAGATTTTGAGACTTACAGGTATATTTCACAAACTATGAAGATTGGGAGGTCTCAAACCCCTCTGCCACAAGGTTCATATAAATAAACAATCACACTTAGATCAACTATTTTGAGTGAAGCCTTCAGTGACATTTTAGTTTACAAATGTTTGTTTTCTTTTGGTGACTCATTGGAAATCTGTGTTTAAATTTTATTAGAATAGAAGAAAAATCCCTTTACGTAGCTCAAATATTGGTTGGCGAGAGTAGGAGAGTGGCTTGATATTCTGCTCTATGTAAGAAGCTCCCCTATCCTCTATAGGAGCTACGTGGGTGGGAACTTTGCATTATGAGCTGCGTGGCTTTCTGATATAGACTCTAAGGTCCTGATGTTGAAGTTGAATAGACGAATCCTTGCATAGGTGTGAACCCTTGCATAATTTGCCGCATGGGACTCTGCATGAGTCCTAAGGTCAGTGCCAGTACTGAAATCTATATTTTCAGGAGCAATAATGTAAAACTACAGTACCTCGCTCCCTTCCTCCTTTTCCAACTGTTACTTTAGAGTTGGGGGGGAGTCATCTTCAAACAGTACAACAGAGTATCATTAACACTGTTGTTTTTAAAGATTAGTTTATAACTTTACTGCTTATATTATCAGCTAAAATGGGAATTGTTGAAAATTTGTATTTTAATGTGTGAATAGTCATGTACCTGTTAAACTTGTGTTCTAAAAAGTCTTTGAAACTTATTTTTGAAGACTTATTTTTATGGTAGTTTACACACTTTTTCTTTCAGTTTATATCAATCTGCTTCTGATAATAAAATTGGTTTTAAAAGTTAAAGAAACTGTGCCATTTGGCATAGTGTACTGTACATTTTCAAATGAATATTTTAGGAAAAAAGCTTTTGAAATCTAATTTCCCACATTATCCTATTTTGAAGTCCTAACTTTTTGTCTGTAGTCAGTAGCAAATGGATAAATGAACTACAGAACAGAAGCATCTTTCATATGTAAAGAATACCTAAACATATGTTGTTCTTTCAAGAATAAGGCTTTGCTTTTGTGGGAAAATACATTTTATTAAACTGAGTTCTGACCTTCTGTTGAAACTTGAACAGACTGGATCTTCTGTGCTCTGGATCTGAAAGTCTCAGAGAGACTCTCATTCTCTGCAAGGACCTTTTATTTTCTTTTGACAATGGTGAAATCTTAGGTTTCTCCATTTTCCAAAACAAGGTGCATGGCATTTATTTCTAATGCCTTTAAAGTTGCCCTGTCACTTTTAATGTTTGTTGACATTCCATTTCAATGCAGTAAACAGCAATTTTTCCAGTAAATGTTCATCAGCCATAGTTAAGTCACATAAGGTAGGTTGTAGATCAGCTCTAATATCATTGCATAAAAGAGTCAAGACACACTATAAAACTGACTTGGAATCCATTCAGCCTGTTGTTTTAGTGTAGAGTGCCTTCTCTGATGCCAAGATAAGGATTTGTATCAAGATCTGTGCACACCAGGAAATGCAATGGAGACTCTTAGGGTACCTCTACCCAGCAAAATAAAACAAAACACCACAGCAGTGATTCTGAGCTCAGGACCACTGATTTGGGCTTGTGCTAAAATAGCAATGTAGACACTCTTAACTCAGGGTGGAGCCCAGTCTCTAAAATGTGCTGGGGGGAGGGTCTCAGAACCCGGGCTCCAACCCAAGCCCGAATGTCTACACTGCTACTTCTTTGCCCTGCAGTGCGGGCCCTAGTCAGTAGCCCTGGATTCTGAGACTTGCTGCTGCGGATCTCTTTTTGCGGTGTAGAGATATTCATGGTTCTTGAATTGCCTTAGTTTTTGATGGAGCTCATTGGCATTGTTTCCAGAATAACACGTTCATAGGATTTGCCTTTGTTTGGGGAATGTGAGATAACTGTTTCTCGCCAGGTAACTTCTGAACATTAGTTTTGGACTAGCTGCATGGATTATACTTATCATTTCTGGCTCTGTCTGACCCATCTTTAATCAATTTTCAGTGTGCATTCCAGACCCATATATGTACCTACGCTTTCTGAAACTGGTGGTCAGTTACTTGAGACTTCTTTATGTATGTTCTTCCTGTGGGTTTAGTAATTCAGATATAAAGACCATAGCTTGACATGAGATGCCAATAAATAGCTGGCAGTTCACCCATTGTCATATGTCTCTTCTGAATGACTGTACAAGTTTTAGCTGATTCCTCCAGGATGATGTTGAAGCATGATCATGAGATTGGATGGGGATGCTTGCCTTGCTACTGCCTGTACTGTCTTCTCTGCCAGTTTTCAAGACCCCTAAATTAACTTTCTTAAGACAGTGGAGGGGGGGTAGTTGTACTTGTATTCACATATTTGCAACTTTAATTTTTGCCCAAGACATCCGAGGCAGATACCGTAGTTCATAGATATCCCACAAAAAGCAGATTTTTATTTTATTTTTTTTTTTTTTTTAAAAGATAGCATAGGTACCTTAGAAACACTCATTGGTGGCAAGTTGCGGTGCATATGACCACTCTTACCTGCTCGCCAAGTAAGCTATGATAGCAGATACTCTGCCTTACCATCCAGAAGGTGGCCAGATCGTTTAGCTCTCAAGCTATGGTTGTTTATAAAAGGTTACTTTTGAATGCAAAAGAAAAACTTGAGTCGTGTGATATTGTGAGGGCCCTACCATCCTTGCTCCAATTTCCTTAATAAGAGAAGTTTATTTTATTAAAGATATTGCATTGTGTAATGTAATATTGAAGCAGGAATATTTAATTCTGTTGAATCTGCATGGTCTAACATATCTCTTATGTTTAACATATTGCATATATAAACAAACCTTGGTAAGTAAAATTCAGTGTGTAAAGGGGGGAAAAAAGGAGTTTATTGGTCATGCTATGATTGCCATTATGATTTCATCTCTAGTGAAGAGACTTATTTGAAAGGCTAAGCATGTTTTAACTTTTAAATGGTGAGTGCTTGACAAGTTCTGACATGGGGAAGCAAGCAGACCGTATCTTAACCAGTGTCATTCTCCTTATATTAACTGAACATAAAATCCCCTTTTCAAAATCGTGAGTAATATATTCTGTTGTGTTTCAGTGACTGCATACTGGAACTTAGTGTTATGCCTAAAGATGAAGACATCCTTCAACTGGTACGTTGTGTTTCTGAAAATGAAAATAAGATATACTATTGAAAAAACCCATTGATTTGCTGAAAATATTTGAACAGTGTATGCTGCTTTCTGAATACTTTAAATCTTTGAACATTTGCTGTTAGGAAGTAGTTGGAATTTCAACATTTATTTTTCTGTTACTCCTTAACTCCCACTCTACTTGCTCATTATCTTTGAAATTTCAGAATGTGAAAGCACCAGTAGTAGTTTTTAGGACAGGAGAAAAATACCTCCATTCATAACATTTTCCACTATATTAGTAAAATACTGAAGCTATACTAAAGAGGTATTTTAGAAAGCACAACTCTGACACTTACGGTTGTCTGACTTTATTTAATGTAGGTTTCTTAACATTAGAACTTGAGAAAGGGCTATTTTAAGAAAATTGCTAGATTTTGTGAAATTTTTTTTAAACAGAAAGAACTTACTTGCACTCGATACAGAATTCAGTTCCAAGTCAGAGGTACTTCCAGATTTGAAGAGAAGTATAATGTTGCACCGTGTAAAGGATGCAGTGTCACCTGAAACAAAACCGTGAAAATTTCCATGACAAAATGTAACAGTTGCATATAATTTGAACAAGGAGAACTATATGGTTTTGAAAATGTTACTGTATGTATAGTGCTGCGCATCTTTCCTCAAACTTGTAAAGTTTGCCCCAGACAATACTGTATATACAGTTGCTTATTTTCTAAACCAAATAGTTTTCCAAAACCTTTTTACTCAAACTGTTGTAAATATTTTTATGATGGATCAAAATGGAGATTGAGGCCCCACTGTGCTGGGGACTGTTAAACAGAGGCGTTGATCCCTGTCCCAGAGGGCTTACAGTCTGAACACCCAAGAGCTGTGGGTAAAACACATGTGAATGAGCCTGGTGAAGAATTGGCACAGCCTTGTAAACTATGTGTATTGGAGTTTGTGTTAACTAGGGATTAGGAAAAGGCAAAAGGTCAGAAAAGACTTAGCTATTGACAGCAGCAGGGCTTTTGTAGGCATCACACCATAAGGAAATCTAAATTTGAAGGGTGCTTCATGTGGTCAGAGCAACGAGTCAAGAAGATCATTTTAGGAGCAGTGTTTTGAATAGACTTGAGGGGGGAGTAAGGCTACAGTAGTCAAGGCCAGGAAAGAGGAGACTTCAATAGTGAAGACATTAGATGATGGATATGGATGGGAGTTTTGGCTTTGTGGACTGAGAGAAAAAGATGGATTTTCGGGATTATGTGGGAATAGTGGCAAGATTTAAAAATGGCCTAAATGAGCATATGATGCCCAGGTTATGTCCTGGATGACTCGGAGAATGGTGGCGGTGTCCATAGTAATAGAGAGAAGTTGGAAATGGGGGAGAGGTGCAATGAAGAGTTCAGCTGTTAAGTTAAACTCAACATAGGGCAAAAACTGGACATCTGTGAACAGATGCCAAGCTGAGACACTCAAAATAACAAGAATGGATGGTTCACACCACAGACACATCCTACAGAATTCAACTTACTTTTTAAAAAAAAAAAATGTTTTAGGTAACTTAAATACTATCCATAACTCATGTTGTCCATTTAATTTCATTTTACATTTGCTAGTGCAAGAATGGACAAATGAAATCTTTCCAAAATTTGTCAAATATAAAGTTACATTAAGATTTCATTAAACTGAAATGTTGAATGCTAAGTTTCAAACCAGAGGATACTTCATAGCATAATATAAATCTTGCACTAGTTAAAGATGATGTTTCAGTTTTAAAACCCTTTGTTGTAACACACCCTGCACTATTGTAATGAAATTTGACTTCATTGTTGCTATTTGAGAGTTTTCTTTTAAATTAAAAAAATATTTAAATAAGTGTTTAATCTCCCAGATTTAAGTGTTCTGCTAGTGTCCATTTTTCTTAGTTACTTGAGGCTTAATTTCTAACCATGTCCCTGATCACTGTATTCTGTAATAATTTATCAGTTAACTTTTTTTATACAATTATCAAAAATATCTGTGATTAACAGAGACTTGTGTAACATGCTGCTGGGGATGCCCACAGCTGTGAGCTACTATTACCTCTCTGCCTCAGTAAGAGTGAGAGTTGCTGGTGATTAGATCATGTATCAGCTCCTGGCCACACCAGTCTGTCTTCCTCACCAGCATACTTCTCAATGCTTTCCTGGCACAAATCTTGCCTAGCAGGTAACAATCTGAGAACTCCAATCCGTGAGCGCCTCAGACATTTCTCTGCAATGCACATCCTCTACCACTGTACATTCGCAGAAGATATTAAGTTTGCTGCTCTGTTAAAGAGTCGGTACATCTCGGCTTATTAATTTAACTGGGGTAAATATGACCTTCCCTTCTAACTCAGAACTGAATTGGTTTATAGTAGAAATAAAACAAGTTTATTAACAAAAGAGCAAGGACTAAGAAATGGTACCAAGTGAGAGATAAAGGATGGTTACAAGCAAGTAAAAGTGAAAAATATGCATCCGAAAGTATAAAACTTAGCCTAGCAAGACAGTCTTTGTTCAAGATAATTTCTTTTACCCAAGTTTTCTTTCCAGTTTTTTAGTGGCTTGGACCCATCAAGGAGATAAAGCAACCAACCAATTTGATTTCCTTAAAGTGAAGGATAAACTCAAAGTCTCTGTTTCTTATATTCCCAAAGGGATTGCCTTTGTCCTACAGATCAGAAAGGTCTCCTGGGGATTGTCTCCTGTGTGTTTCTGGGGTGCAGGAGCCACCTTTAAATCTCTGTGTCTCAGGTTCAGGAGCAGGATAACCCTCACTGGTTTAGCTTGATAGCTTGGTTTACTGTTAATATGTAAATAGAGGTAAACCCACTTTTCTTTGGCTGTCTTGTCTTAAACATGCTATAATAACATCATACAGAGAGAATTTGTAACTTCTCATATAACATTAACACATGCACTTTACAATATTAATAACCAGCGTGTTAGCTTTCATATACCTCCCAAACCATATTTTGTACAGATATTATTGCAGCAGTGTGTAAGATGTGAATACAGGGTGCCTAGGGTCATGACTGGCAACAAGTGTAATATAGATTATAAAACGTAGGAAGTTACCTTGATTCTTGGACGGATTTCTTTGTGTGACACACAAACCCAGCCCATTTAGTGTTCTGAGTTTGAATTTTTTTTTGTCAAGTGTTAAGGATTATGTGAACTTTTGTTTAGTTCTCTCTGGAAGCCCAGTGTGACTATCTGAGAATCTCTGTTATTCCCTAGGTCTTTACGGTGATCTCCTAAACCTCTTGGGCCAGCCGTCCTGTCAGGGTAGGAGAGCAGAGCGAGGCTTTTTTCAAATCCATCAACAGCTCAGATGTTAGGTCCCTGTCTGTCTTTTTCTTGTTCTCCTCACCCTGACACTTAAGGTGTGCAGCATTACCTTTGTAGATCACCCAGGCAGTCATCATGACAGAGTTTGAATCTATACCATTGGATGTTGGCAGGCTCAGCAGAGATGCCAAGAATTGCTTAGGCCATGGAGTCTAAAATATCCTCTTGCCCCCTAAAGTCAGTTCCTTCCACGTCAGGGTTGAAGCATGTTTATGGTCTGATTGTTCTATCCTTCCATTGGCAATGTTACCTCTGTTTGGTCGATAAAAGAGGGCTTGGATCTCCAGGACTGTCAGTACTGGACATCATTTACCAGAGGTCTTACTAGAGAAGCTTCCTTTTCCATTTCTCCAAGTGCTCCAAGGCTGAGCTTGTTGTGCTATCGCTGAGCACCAGGCTGGGCTACTGAAAGAAACTGCTAGTAGGAGGAGTTTGCTAACCAATCAGAAACGTCAGATCGTGGTAAATATTTCCACTATGACCTTAATTTATCTGAATGAAAACTTCAGTGGGACATAATGTTATAGCTTTGTTGAAAGAATTTCTGTGCAGATACTAAAAAATGATTGTGCTATGCCAGAAATGGGTTGGTCTTTTTGTACTTCACAATTTTTTTTTAAAATTTTTAATATACATGTCTGTGTGTGGCGGGAAAACAATCTCTTGAATGAAGGTTAGTAATAAAATGATTAGTTATTAATTTCAGGAAGTTTAGTTGATGTAACTTCAGCCTTCTTTGAATTAGGTTCCTATAACATCAGCGATTTAGATATTTTTTTTGTGTTTCTTAGAGATGTTCTTTTGTCCCAGGTTCAGTGAAGGACCTTCCTCCCCATTTCGCAGAGCAATGCACTCTGGGGATTAGAGCATAGTCTTCTTCAGAATAACAGAACAAAATGGAACTTCCTTTCATTTTGTCTATGGGGAGACAATCTCTGAATGGCTTTTTGAGTTGAGAATCTGCATCGCCTTTCCAACTTCTAAGAATTGTATTTGATGATGTTAAGTAACCTATTTCTTTAAGTTGTGGCAAATAAGCCTTTATGGTTAAAATAAAAAGTAAAGTTCAACCTCAGAATTTGTAAACTTTTGTAATTAAACACAGGTCTATTTTGTAGGAAACTTCAGAGTTAATGGTTGATGGTGGTAAGCTGATAAAAGGTTCATTGTCTAGCTGTAAAAAGAAAGAATGGATTAATTATATTCTGAAAATAATGTTGGTTGTGGTAAACATTAGGGTGCTTGGTAGTCTCATCAGTGTGCCGATGACGGTTACTGGGATAAGTATTTGAATAATGTATCATTGTTCTTCTGTTGTTTGAATACTATTTGATAAACATTGTTTTAAGTCTTCAGAAATGTCCATAGTAGTGTGTGAATGTAGATATTTTTTTCATTAAATTTATTTCCTGAAAACAGGACTTTGAATAATCCATTCACCAGTAGCAATTAAGAAGATTTCCAAAGCAAGTGTTCAGTTTCTGTGGCATGTTTTGCTTTCCTTATTTAAAAAGGGAATTAAGGGCGAAAGTCTGGCCTTCGTGTAGTCCATGACAAAACTTTCATTGACTAGGAGTGAACAGGAAACAGTTTTTCCCATCTGTGACAGGGTGCTCAGCTCACTTCTAGGATGGCACCACC